TAACACACACAAATATACAAACTCATACAATCGAGCAAAAATAATAGGACCAGTATGAAAGAAAATTAACCAAATCACTCTATATCGATCTATCTAGGTTTTTAATTTTTAATTTTTTGGCTTAATTGAGTCTATATAAGAAGTAAGATAGAGCCGGATAGTATTCTTGCCTTAATGTTAACGTGAGACTTTTACAAGAATGATACCCAGCTCTGATGATGTCCATCATTTGATGGACGAAAGCTGAGCACGTTTTCACCCGAAACGAGCGAGGAAGTCTCGTGGACTGTGTCAACATGAATATCATATAAAATCCAACCGGCTGCAGTACAACGAGTTTCATCCGCCCTCATCTGGTGAGATCGACCAACGAATCTCTTCTTCATGCACTTTCATACGAAATGAAGGTCCCCCTAAGGTTATCTCAGGAAATTCATCGAAGCCCAGTTTTTCTTCCTATCTATAGTGAGATAGTTGATTAAGTAAACAATTATTCTTTGCACAAAATAATAGTCAAAGCTGCAAAGCAATTTTCATTCAGTTTTGATGATACCAACTTTTTATCCTCATGTGGTGAGATCGACCAACGAATCTCTTCTTCATGCACTTTCATACGAAATGAAGGTCCCCCTAACAATGTTATACACTTTCATACGAAATGAAGGTCCCTCTAACCCTTCGTATCTTAATAATTATTAGTTTTGTTTGGTTATCTCAGGAAATTCATCGAAGCCCAGTTTTTCTTCCTATCTATAGTGAGATAGTTGATTAAGTAAACAATTATTCTTTGCACAAAATAATAGTCAAAGCTGCAAAGCAATTTTCATTCAGTTTTGATGATACCAACTTTTTATCCTCATGTGGTGAGATCGACCAACGAATCTCTTCTTCATGCACTTTCATACGAAATGAAGGTCCCCCTAACAATGTTCAAACCACTTTCATACAACTAAAAAAGACCGCAAACATATTAAATGTCAGATCATCTTTGTCTTCACACTTTCCATTAGTTCTAGAACAATTGGGAGATGGTGAATGTCAGGGATATCGTTCAATAGTTTCAGTATATTCATTGAACATTGAATTGTAGCGTTCCTACAAATTGGCTATTTATCTGTTTCTATATCAGGCATATCTCTTAAAGTGGTTTGTCAATCCACTCTTTGCGCTACTTTGTTTACGTCCTCGAAGGACAACGAAAGCACTCGTATGATGAAAACTCAATTTATGGCTCTTTGGGATGGAATTCTCACGAATCGATCCAGTCGTATCCTCTTCATTGGCGCCACCAACCGGCCAGGTGATCTGAACGTCGTATGGGTTGACTGTGGCTTTAATATGTATCCACACTCTTCAGACTGGAGCACACTTTCTTTTGATGGCTTCGGTTGGCAAATTGACCATCTTTATTCTGATCATTTTTAATCTATGCTTTGTGTCGGATTTTTAAATGCTAAATACATAATAGGTAATTAAGTACTGAGCATTCCTACCGTGTACCGATTACTTTTTCGCCCAAATTCACTTCATTTTTAGTCCTTTTTACTTTTCTCTCGATTTGTACTCTATTAGGACGGATAACAAAGCAAGGAAAAACAGAAATGTTATTTTCAATAGTTTGCGTCAGTATAACTGTTTGTGAAAAGTGAGCACAGAAAATCAATATTTATTTTATTCCTTGATCGCCCACCTATGTTGGGTGGCCACGTGGGCCTTGCCAATCATAATTTGCTAATAAGTAAAATGGGTGACGCCTAAATAGTTGTATAAGCCTGATGCATCTAGAATTAAGGGCAAACCTCTCCATCGAATCGATTGGAGTTTTTATGACAATATTTATCTTTTATTACTACACATTCCTACCAGCACATGCATGACAATTCATTGAATGTGTGTGACACTGAGAAAATATAGCTGGTCAGCTTCAACCCTTAGATTATTCTTTTAATTTGTTTCCTTCGATCCGATTGATAGAAAGATGTATGGAAAGATAGGTATAAGAATTCTTGTCGAGAGCCAGGGCGATATGTAACAATGGTGATCTCATTATTAAATAGGAGATTTTAGATTTTTAGGCTTTGGTTTTACTTTGTTTTTACAATTAAGTCAAATGGCCAAAGTAGTCATGATAATTTACAGCATTGGACCGTTGACTTGGTACATTCACAAACGTTTCATCTGCATTTTCGTCGATATCGTCATTGAAAGGCGCTATACATAGCACAGAGTCATAACTTTGATAAGGGCCAAATGAAGAGAATTGACTTGACCAATCTTTTATTCAACAGTTTCGGCCCCTTCTCTCCCCCTTTGTCTTGGCTTCCAGCAATGCATCCGTATCTTTCAACCTCATTTCAAATGACCCAATCTGTATCTCCTTTTGCCTTAAGGTCGCCTAAGAATGTGTAAATTCAGGTGGATTTAGTGAAGCCCAATACTCTTCATCCCCGGTTTCAGGTACCGGTCGCTGAGTTTCTATGACCAAATCCGCACTTTTCTTTAGTCCCCCACCCCACCTCGCTCGTCAGCTGGTCCCTGCGGCCTATAAAAGTCATGTTCTATCTGGTAGCCTCCTATTCCAGTTGTCGTTTACATCCTTTTCGAGAGTTTCGTAAGGGGTGATTCTCATACCTAGGGTTTTTCTTCTCTTTAGGCTCCAGACGCATGACCTAGTTATCCTCGTTTTCCTTCTCAAACTATTCCCTCACATTCTATGGCTCTCTGTGTTTGACTTCATCTGGAGGCGCTGGGGTGTGAGGACAGACCGCTTTATTTCTCCACTTCTGAATTTGATATTTTTTATCATTTCGGCTTATAAACGTCGGAAAAGCTTCAAGAAGCTTTCTTCTAATTTGTTCATGCAGGTGTTCGCCAAAACATGGCACAGTAAGAAGCAGAATAATTGATAAGAAGTGAACTACAAGAAGTCACCGCTACAACCAGCAGTTCTGATGCGAAAGCTGGACAATTACTTCACACGATGGTCACGCGGAGGAGAAAAACTGGAAGATTTTCTAAAGTTTACATAACAAATTTATGAAAAAATTGAATTTACAATGGAAATAAAGGAATGTTAAGCGTTAATATTCCTGAAACGGGATGCTCAAGAGGAAATAGTTCAGAAAGAAGTCTTATGCCTAGATAATACTCAATTTCCAGTCCCATCAAAATTACAGGCTAAAGATAGAAATAACGAGAAACATGATCATCAGAACGTAGATGTGGAGGCCAAGATTGTGTGGCATTCTGTCTCCCTGACGCTCCGGACAAGATGCGAAAACATGATCATCATAAATCTACGATTAACGGATGCAGAATTCTGGGATGAAGAATTGGACAACTTGACTCGGATAACCCTCGGCAACGGTTACCTAAGCAAAGTTATAAGAAGAAAGGTAAGGGCCGTGAAAGCTGATGGCAGAAAGTTGACTATGAAAGAACAGTTAGGACGGAGAAGGAATCATAGAAGTGGATATGCCTACCATCATGCGAGCTGACTCAAAAACCACTGCCAATATTAGAGAAATAGACGAGTCGCGTGGCCATAAGGGAAAAAACAACACTCTTAACACGTCTACCGACGCAATATGAGAAGGTGGACATGTTGGGTTGTTCAGGAGTTTACTGCATAGCAAGCGGCACCTGCGAACAGAAATAAATTGTTGAAATAGAAGGAAAAGTCAGCCAAGGGATCAAGCAAAATGGATACCGAAAGATCCAAATTAGCGGACACCTCGAACGGACTGGACACGAGATCAAATGGAGAGCAACTGATAGAGCAGCAATATGAGATGTATTTACCCTATTTCGTCTAAGCTGACGAAGGACTGGTAGTAGAATTTTCTCACAATGATATGAGTTAAGCTGACGTTTCCATTGAATTTCACATAACCTTGATTTCCAGGATGAGAACAACTTCTGGGAAAGCAAGGCTATGTGAAATTGAACGGAAACGTCAGCTCAACTCATATCATTGTGGGAAAATTGTTCTTCTACCAGTCCTACATCACCTTAAACGAAATTGGGTGAATACATCTCATACTACGGATTTACTGGTAGTCTCGAAACTCTACTCCAATACGAAAATCATGGAGCAGCCTCACACGGTGAACACACAATAAAACGGAAGATTAGGGAGGACATTGACATACTTGGGGACAAAAATCGAATGAACAGGACAGTGGAGAAAGCCAAAGTTGGCGATAACTTTGCATACTGCTTAAGCGAACTCGGAGAAAAGAAGAATACAATAAGACCAGCAAAAAAGAAGACGCCTGGATCAAGGATCTATCGCTAACCGGAGGAAAAGGGATCGCGATGAGAAAATGGTGAGGGAATTCCGGAAATCAAGCGAGGACGTTGTCAGGGCGTGAACCAGTACAACGTTGGGGGCCTGGTGGTCACGTGACTATGGAGACGGAGACACAGCCTTCTGGCCCAAATTTGGTAGAAACCCACTTGAGATGCCACAGTCGACCAAGCTTCGGGTACCACGGGTTTAATCAACTGGACGATCCGTGAAGGCAATGCCTAATATCTGCAAGTATGGAAATCAGCACCTAGACACTAAGTGTATGTGTTTCTAGGGCCTGGAGTAAAACGCACACTGGGGCTGGAACCGAGTGAAATCGGTCAACCAGAAAGAGAGGGAACAGATCTACGGGATCATGAGGCAGATCCGGATCGGAGGCACGAGCCGATCGAAAGAGAGGGGGCCAAGGTGAACAGCATGTGTGATGAGGCCAAATTAAACTTGCCAACAAGGGCACACCTTTTGATGAGCGGAATGTAAACAAGTGACAAGTTGTGATAGGGCGGGATTTGGATAAGATAGTAAAGAGTAGATAGATAGACCAGGACAGAAAGAGGAGTGAAAGTGTAACTGTTTTCGGTAGAGCGTTGGTCGAGAGATCGGCTTGATTTGTCTCTTTGACGAGTTCGTAGCTTGGCGCGGAGAATGGCAAGACTCACGATGCACGCAAAACGCAAGAACATGTACTGACGCTGGGAATCATGACAACAAGACCAAGTTGCGAAAACGAGTTCAACCTGCTCTTTACGGGGACGACTTTTTGAAGCCGATAATAGCTTTGACTTCTCTCACAGCCCTCACCTTCTCTTAACTTCAATTTGTCCCTCATGATCCTTTTCCTTCCGTGCAATTGATGCCTAAGCTTCTTCTTTTAGCCGTCCTTGCTGAATCCCACTTTGCTCTATTTCTGCCCAAGCAATAAGCGAAATTCCAGTCAATCATGTGATCGGTCGGAGAATTAATTGCCTTTCATTATCTTCAATCTTTCAGTATCCATTTTTATGCAGAATCTGTCGCCATCTTTACTCCTTGTGATGATTGTCCTTCCCGTTCCCACAATGCAATTTTGTTTATAGCCCTTGCTGTTTATTCAGTTAGTTTCAGAGAACTGCTTTTTTGACTTTTTGTCTTTTCTGCGCAAGCTGGTGAAGGTTGTAATTATTTCCGAGTCAATTAGTAACAGTCGCAGCTTCTGGACCCGTTTGCAGATGGGTAGTCATATCAGTTCCTCTGCTTCCCCTGCTTCCCTCTCATAATCATCATCCTGCCATCTGACCATCACGACTCGTATGTTTATTTCTATTATTTATTTTGATTATCGATGTCCAAGATTTATTCCCTGTTCATCTTTTCATCAATTTTTATCACTTAGTCGGAGACTCCTCAGGATCATACTCTTAAGTATCATTTGGTAATTATGGTGGGACTAGAAATTAAGGTGTATTCCTGCGTGTGATTTCTTTCTGAGCAACCTTTTCTTATAAGTCTCCGCGAGGTGGATTCCTAAAGACAACGGAAGCAAGTGTCTGTGTTTCCTTACCTCCATTGGAAATTTGGTTTCTCCATCAATATCCTTTCAATAGATTGAGAATTCGTCCAATTTTTCTTTTCCATGCAACCGGATTGCTAATTACTCATCCAAATATCGCATTATTCCTGTTGTCTGCTGAGGTGACGTTTGGAAATTCTCCTCCAACTCGCACGTGTAGACATCGGGCATCAGATTTGTGGCAAGCGAGCCCATAAGCAGATCAAATATTTCTTCATTAATGCGGCCGATGGAAGTGAAATGGGTACTTCTTAATGTTAGGTTAATTAATCGGGTTTTCATTTTCCAATCTTTCAGCACTTTTTCTCAAGAGCTATTCGTGTACGTGTATTGTACGTCAAAACACTCCAATAGTTGCCTTGCCTCCATACTGGTGTCTTTGATTTTTCGGCAAAATTCGCTACAATTATTCGCCACTTTCGATCTCCGTTCATTCATCTTCATTAATTTGAGGCAGGTGATGTGTTGCTCCGCGATTATTGTTAACTCTCAGTCTTAATGGTTCTCCTCCTTTGTGTATTTTCGGCAGCCCGTATGCCATTTGAGGCATTGCATCGTTTCGAATTAGTAAATTCAGTGCCCATTTGTCAATTTCCCCATTCGTATTCATCTACTTCAGCATTTCCTGCAGTGCCATTTTGATTTTGAATGTCCGGTCCTATGCTAGCTGCCGATTAATTGTTGTGTCCTCGAGGATATTTTCAATTGTCTGTGAATATTCCTTTCTGTACATGGCAATCGCGGCCCTTGCTTGGTCTCTTATAGAACTAGTTGTTCACTCTTAGATGTTTTTTATAGCTTCGTTATATCGTAAATATTCGTGAATTCTAGATACCCCAAAATTGTTGGATTGATTTCCATTTTCAGCTAAATTTGTATTCTTAGATTAACTTTTCAGGGGTATTTATCACCTCTAAAATGTCCTTTATTACCTTCCTCTCTTTCCCGCCTGCACATTCCAATCCCTTATTGAGGATAAATCCACCACTTTATCTTCATCTTTAGTGTGGTCTGTGAGAGTCGCCATTCTAAAAGTCTCTTCTTTTTTGCTGGGCGGTGTGACCCTGGATGGTCCACAGATCACATAGTAATGCAGCTTCCTCCGGTGCCTCATATCCATCAAGTCAGAGATGCTTTTCTGTCCTCGCCTGTTGCTTCTTCAAATCCTCACATCATGAATGACCCAAAACTTATCCTGTAATTTGTGCAAAAAAGGCTAAGATAACTTTATTTTCTCATTAAATTACAGAAACTGGCAGGGATGCCATAACGCTGGTAACAGTGTGGAAAGGTCAGGTGACAAAAATAACATAAGATTGTCTTCTTTGGTCTGCCTTAATCAATGCGTTGTTGAGCCATATTTCCACCGTAATTAGATCGTAGTTATGAGAACCAAGGTGGTAGGACCTTCGGTTTTGTAGCAGCATCCTTTAGCCATGTAATGTTGGTTTGGCCTGGTTTTCGCAGCCTGATCGGAGGGACACGGAGACCTTGCGGGACGTACCTAGTCCTACGTCCTCGGCCATAGTATTCCTGATGATGTCCAGCATTAGACCGTCGATTTTATTCAGTTCCAGACATTTCACCGGCATCGTCATTCAGATATTGTGAGATGATACAACAATTGACAGAAAATTGGTCAAGGCGATTGATTTCCCTTGTCACTTTCACAACTTGTATCTCTGTTTTAAGGACGAGGGATCTGATCGAATATCCTTTACTTTCTGAAATGCTGCGAAGTCTTCTTGTATCTGACCTCGTGTTTTTTATGTGGGAGCAATAACCTTGGGCCAATTGCGATGTTTGAGCACCAACTAGACTCCAGGCTTAGCAGGTATTTGTGTTGAGTAGGTTTCTAATCTAGCATTAGATCTTGTATAAGAGCTGTACTCACCCTAAATCGCTACGGGTGATGATGAAACCTAGGTGAGGCTGAAAATGCAGTCCACCCTGTATGAGAATAGCTTTTGAGAACGCAAGTCTATGTAAAATTCAATGGAAACGTAGGTTACACTTATAGCATTGTGGGAAGATTCAACCACTATTACATCTTCACCTTGCGCAATTTAGGGTTGATACA